AAGAGCTGTTAGAGGATGCAATGTGGCAGTTGGACGTAACAAGGAATAATCTGGGATGCAGAAACACGTGCGACACACACAACCTGCAGAACATCTGGAATCGATTCGAGCCTGACGCTGACGCATGCACCCACAAGAAGCTGGTGTCACCGTCCAGGGAACAAACAAACAAACAAACACAGAGATGCAGAGTGAGTGAAATGACAAGGATGAATTTCATTTTCAATATCAAAGCTATGGAGAGGAAATTCTTCATGAAAGCAAATGGCAGAAAGACACGTCTGGAAACAGCTGAGCTTTCGTGCAGATTGTTATAAATTCCCTCAGACGAAGCCAAACCAGCAGATTCCCCTAGTTTCCAGTCCTGTTGCAAAGCTTTAGTTTCATATCTACAATAGACAATCTTTATAAATGTGTTGTATTCAACTGACTAATGACAAAGTGCAACTGTTATTTATATAATTACCTCATAATGTAGCAGAGAAACCACGTTGAACCTGTGCAAACTCATACAGAGCAGTTGCACATTTTGACATGCAGAGTATAAACACATCTGCAGAGAGTCCAAGAAACATCTGGACACTTAGCTTTGTCTAATATTTAGTGGTAGTCATGACGGTTGGTACAAATGGAGCTCAGAGTTCATTGTTGTGGGTTTCAGGCAGGAAAGATCTGCTCAGTATTATGTGTTTCAAAGAAAAGACAACGTCAGAGATTTGATAAACTGCATATCAGATGACTCGCTGGTGGCCTGTATGTTGCGCTGAATGGAAACAACCAGGACGTTGATGTATAGGAAAATGTCACAGACTGTAAAAGTCTCGTGTTTTTTCTTTCTTACTCATTCATGAAATCATAGTTGGACACGATGGACGATCCCTCTGCGCTCCAGCAGAAACTTTTAACCAGAACCTGACGTCTTAACCTTGCGCAGGGCTGTGGTCCAGATGACCTGCATCGAACTGGAAAACCAGGATCTCATTAAGTCGGAATCAAGACCAAATGGATGTGGAGGATTTTACAAGTTGCTTCCTTACACTGAATGTCATCTCACTTCTGGTGACATCTGTATTATTGAGCGTCGATCTGTGCTCCTGCAAATATTTCATGCATCTCAAGTTTTCCTGATTCATAACAACTCATCAATTAATTCATCTGTCTTTGTCTGGTAACAGAGACGAATGTCTCGACATCTTTTGTTTGGACAATGAAAATCAGCCGTTTGTCAAATCGTTTCCAGATTTTGGAAAATTAATGTTTTTAATTTTTAAACAAAGTCACAGGAGAAAAAGTCTGAACCTCTGAATTTGATTCAAAAACTGAATCAATGAGTGGACATTTTTGCAGCAGCTCACAAAAAAATGTATATTCAACCAACTGAACATGAACTTCAATCATACATCAACGCAATCAGTGCGTCACTACTGGAACACGTATTATTTACTTTATCTATTAGTATTCGGTTTCTTTCAGTGCTGTCCAGTTATTTGACTGAACATTTGTTATTCCCTAACAGACACATCGCTCAACTCCCTGCTTCTTCTACATCTTGTTGGCAGTTGGGGAACCGGCTTTAGTGGACTCACTCTAATTCATGTAACCTCTCTCTCTCTCTCTGTCTTATCTGCTTCAGAACGACATTTGCCAAATCCGGATCTGAACCATCGGCTTACAAGCGAACAAGAAACGTCAGAAGCTGAGATTTGTTCCTCGTTGTGTTTATTTTATTCCACCGTCTGAGATCCACAATAACAACAGGGCACTGCAGCATCTTGAAAATACTGGAGCTAGGACCAGAAACATTATTATTTCCTCCATTATCAAGGTTAAATCTCTACGGATGCTTAGTCAGCCGGACCCCAATAATGAATCCTGCTTTTGCAGTAGAAGAGAAATGTTTTCAGTCGGATAAACCAGCGAGTGGATGAATTTCCTTAAATGAGGTCTGTCTACTGAACGCCCCCGGAGAGCTTCATCTGAAAGTCACGTGTGTGTCATGTACGACCGACTCTGTTCGAGATGTAACATCTGACGTCCTCCCGACCCGTTGCTTATTTTACTGATCTCCGAGGAGTCCCATAATTGTCTTTGTCTCATCGTCACACTTGTCTTCATCATAATCATCGCCCACAATGCACTCATCATAACCACGTTCACAGAGCGTCACTTCATCAGCTACCTCACGTTCATTATCTCCAACAGGCATCTGTGTCTGAGGCATTCCTGTCATTCCACAGAGATAATTACAAACATTATTATTTTTGGAATAATCACCATGTGTACAGCAGATGGGGAACAATAATTGAGTTGAGTTGCACGTGTGCTCTCGTGGATGTGTCATATACGCTGATGCGAGCTTGCTTACGTGCACAGTGAAGCACGGCAGCGTGACTTTCACTGTCTCACAGAATCACCGGAGGCTGAAGAGGTTAAAATATATGTTGTGTTTGTTTACAAGCTCATTAGTTGAGCTGTTCATTCCCCAAGGTTGAAGCTTTATGACTCATGAGAACAAAGTATATGAAGTGATGTCTGATCCCTTCACAACATGAGAGGACACCATTTTTATTGTTTTGTTTACTGGGGTTCGAACATCTTGTTTAAATTCTATTTGATATACATACAAACTTTACTCCGTTATTTATCCATTCACCCGTCTACATAAGCTGCTCCAGACCTTTGAACATGAGAGTTTTTAAGCTCGGCGCCGGTAGAAAGTCCAGAGAAAGTCCGGATCAAATTGTGCGGACATCCTCCGGAGTTCACGTCTGAAAACGGCTGCACTGACTGAAGTGACTCATTTATTAATTTACTCATTTTCATTGCAAATGTAGTTGACTTGAATTCATTTGCTCATTTATTCAACTCAACGTTTTTGTCATTAATCCGCTCATTTATTTATTGACTAATTGTTTTGCATATGCACCAGTCTTGCATTCATTCATTCATTCATTCATTCAATCAATTATATAGTCATTCATTTGCCTGGTGACACATCTGTTGATTGACATATCCATGCATTTGTAATAGTTCTGCATTCTCCATGAATTAATAAAAATCTAATGTATTCATTAATATATTGAACAATCAACTTGTTGGTTTGATTTTCCATTCACTGCAAAGTCTTTCTTTCTATTATTTCTCTAAAACTCATGTTATTTCATTCATTCATTCATTGGTAGCCGGTTAATGTGTCCGCACACCTACATGAATGTCCTTTACCAAATATGGCTGAACAGAATTAAGTTCTCGTGTCCAGCTTGAACTGTGAGACGTGATATGTTGTTGCCAAGGAATTTGTTTTGCGTTGCCAACTCTTAGTTCAGCTGCATCCACCTAAAAACATCGGCTGAGAGAAGACCCCCGAACCACTTCACACCGAGGAAACAAATCACATCGACTTTATTCAAAACAGAAATGTCAACGTTGCCACGGCGACAGCTCATGTTTTCAAGAATATTTACAGCATGCAGGCTGGAAATATTTGTCCCTGGTGTTCTCTCTCTCTCTCTCTCTCTCTCTGTCTCTTTCTCTGGAAAGTGATCCAGCGAGCGTGCCCCCCCCCCTTGAAAAAGTGAATCATAGCAGACTATTATGAAAATGGCAAAAGCACAAACACACTGAGAGCGAAGCCTCGAGCACAGCCGGCGTCCGCAGGATCCACAAGAAACCAGACCATGAAATCACACTTTTCTTTAGTCAAGACATCGACCAGCTCCACCCACACTTCCACTGTCCACTCCTGCTGGTCTGCAAACACTTCTACAACTTCTCCACCCCACAAGGTCACATTTCACTTCATATTATAATTAGGAGACGAGATGATTACACTCCTTTTTTGCCGCCAGCAGCCAAAAGTGCCGTTTAATTCAAAATGTCAAACTGACGATTATACTCATTGCGGCCACATTAGCAAAAGAGACCTCGCAATTATTTCACAATTCAGCTTTTGTGACACAGAGGTCGATGAGGCGATCATACGTCGAGATATCCACACACACACACACACACACACAAAGCTGCAAATGTCAATCCAGATTCCAACACACTGACGGAAGCAGTGATGATGTATTTGGCCGACCGTCAGGATGGAGACTAATCAAAAAAGAAGCTCTACTGACATTGGCCCTCATGTCTGACAAGCACCTCCCAGCACACCCTCAGAGAGCTGCGGCATTACATCATGTCCGCTACCTGAATAATGCGGTGCCACTGATTGCAGAGCCGCTGTCACTGTGCACGCCGTGAGGTTTTGCCTGTTTCCAATTGCGATGGAAAAGAAAACCTCGGCACTAATTGGGACCATGCTGAAGAGTCCTGATTGATCCATTAATCCTGGAAAATAATCCAGATTTAAGCTGTGAAAACAGTCGGCGGAGGCTGCAGAGCGCTGCACAGGGGCTCCTGAAAAACATCTCCAGAGCAGATATAATTGAAACCATCGTACAACAGCACAGGAGCTAGCAGGTAGCTGCCCGACGTGCTCCTCAACTTTCCAAAAGTTTGCAAAGTTTCCGTAGACTTTGAGGATCCTCGTGTTTCATTATCAGCCTCATGCACAGAGACATTGGAGCCCTTCCAGAAAGAATAGTGGGCGCACTCAAACATCAGACTCAAAACTTTCCCAGAGATAAAACTTTGTTAATTAGATACTTTTAATTAGCATCGATAGACGAGATGATTTGCAATATAAATTAGAGAAGCTGCTGCCAGGATGTTACTGTAATAAGCATAAAATGTGTGTGTCCTACTCAATGCATAATAACATTGACACCAAAGGTTTCACTATATCATCTTCCGATTAAGAAATCCCTCTGAAAGTAATATCCCACTGTGCCTCTGTAACCTCACCCCTGCAGTGCAGCAGGACCCGAGTGCAACAGCTTAATCATTCTCACTCAACGGATGAAAAGTCATGAGCCAGCAGAAAGTTTGCCAACAGCAGAAAACTTTTCCCCTCAGCAGCATGCAGTCATCAGACAGACAGAGTGTGCACATACCGTCCAGCGGCTGATAGGCAGAGGAGCGTCGGCAGCAGAACCGGAGCACGAGCAGAAATAATCCAAAGAACCAGGGAGGAATGCTGCACACACAAAAAAAAGAAAACACGAGTGAAGAGCGAGACTCAAAGTTCACATGAAACAACTTCTTCTCAGAAAACACTGTGGCTTTCATTTACCGTGAAGACATCTTCAGTGGCGCCAAGCTTAGATCCCAACTAAACTTGCCCTGAGAGTGACAGCAGACCGAGAGAGAGATGGAGCTCACTCTGCCTCTCTCCCCCACTTACTCCAAACTAAAATCCTCTCTCCTCCTCCTCCTCCTCCTCTCTCTCTCTCTCTCTCTCTCTCTCTCTCTCTCTGGTTCCCAGTCAAACAAAGGCAGCTTCAGTGCGCTGGGACTCAAGGGGCCCTCGCTGAAAGCTGAAACCTGACTCCTTTGCGTCTCTCTGCGGACCACCGCTTTCTTATCCGGCCCTCCCCTCAGACATCACAACCCCAGATACAAATTAACACACTCCGGTTAAGTCCTCCTCCGACCGTTACGGCTGCTCCTCCTCACTGGTGTGGTTTCTCCCACACTCCCCCTGTCCTTTAAAGCAAGTGTGGCCTTGACCTATGAGGTGGTGGTCGTGATGGTGGGGGGGNGGGGGGGGGTTGTCTCTCAGGATTTGCAGCATGGAAGTTTTACATCTTTCAGAGGAAAACTTTAGTTTCTTGGATCAAAGTACATTTTCAGCAGATATCAGGTTTTACTTTTCACATATTATTCTGAATAAAGTTTCGTAGGTAAAACCAGAGTCTGTCCTCGGCGAGAGGCTAACATGCTTTGGTTTTTAAAATCACCAACTGATTCTTCTTTATCCATCTGAGCTATGATGGAGTGAGCCGTCTGAAACCTTCTGTGTCTGGGCTTGGTCTCATGAGCATTGTGCCGTGGTGCCAAATGGAATCTGCCGAGAACAAACACAAACAGGCAGCAGTCTGGCTGCAGGAGCCAGTGTGGGGGGGGGACGGGAGGACAGGAGGACAGATAAAGAAGTGTTCAGACCTTGTCTCTGGACAGCTCAGACAGATAAGTGCCATCACAGCCTGTGAGCGATGCCGTTAGAGAGGCGGCATCTGCGATAAGCCGTCCTCACTTCACTGACCTCACGCAAACTGACCAGTGGAGCTGTCAGGGGACATTGTTTGTCAAAAGAAGAGCGTCCCGTTCCCTTTGACTGTTTTATTACCAATTCATAGGATTTCTGAGTAACTGGAGAAGTTTTTAAATTCATTACGTACCAGTTAAGATATACTTTGTCTCTGTACTACTGCGGAAAACTCCGGGTAATTGTGATAATGTTCGTATCGTATTCGTATAAAACAAAAGTTGCTCTCAGGCAAAACAGGGGAGTAGCACAGGGAAATACATGAACACTTACTGGGAACGTGGCGAGAGGTGACGAGACACATGAACATGACCGGGGTAGACGACGACAAACCAACGAATACATGGGGGGGACACAAAGACTTAAATACACACTGAACTGATGAGTAACTGGAGACAGGTGGCACAGGACAGACAGGTGAGCCTGACGAGAGCAGGAAGTCCAGTGGGGAAATCACACCAGGAGCAGGGACTACAAAATAAAACAGAGGAACACTGAGAGGAACATGGGGTGAAGCACAGGGCGGAACATAGAGAGGGACACAGGAGAGGGACACAGAGAGGGACGCAGAGAGTGGGACACAAGCGAGGGACACAGAGGGGACATTTGAACTGAAAACACTCTTTATAAAAGATGACAAAAATACAAAAACCATGACAGGTAGCGTGTGTGGAGCAGCCTTCAGCCACTGTCTTCCCCTTTCTGCTGCCGCCAGCGTCTTCCATGTGAGACAGTGCCCCCCCCCCCCCCCCAACCAGAGCCACGACCTGACAATCTGTTGGTATCTGCTCGCCGTGGGCAGACGAGCTGGTTGCCGGTGGCGTTACAGACTCTGGAAAGGTCATGGAGGTTGTTGACTGAGCGTGTCTCAAGTTTACAGTCCAACACAAGCACGAATACAAAAGAAACAAGTTAAGAATTTGCTGCGTCCATGCACGCTGACATCTTGCCTTGATTTCTCAGAAACAACCAGAATAAACATTTATCCTTCACCTCAAAAGCCACGACAGTAGTTTTTGTTCCTCTTCTTGTCTCGTGTGGAGACGCAGATGGGAGTGGAGCGTTCAAGCTCAGCGAGACGGTTTTCCCTTTGGACTCATCGTATTGAGAGGTTGTTACTCAGCATTAAGTGCGTTAGGTTCAGTTGGAAGTTCCCGATGACAAAAACGTGGAAGAAAATGCATCCAGGTGTCCACTCTGCCTCACGGACGTCCCCGCTGAGTCACTGTTTCTCTGAGTCACTGTTTTGGTAACAAAATAAACTTGTAAGGAAATGACACATCACCTGCAAACCAGTTGATGAAAACCTCTTTGTAAGTTTTATATCAAACACTAAAACCTATTTAACCTTAACTAGGGATTTTTGGAGAGGTCTGACACATGGAATGCAAACTACAGTCTCTAATCAATGAAATGTGGATTCAAAGTGATGAATCATTCATGTATACATATGTGGTGAAAGCTCACATTTATTTAATGGATGTTTGTTTTTTTTTTTATCTCCAAAGACACACTGCGGCTGCCAAGATTACTCTGCACCCCCTCTACGCCCCCACGTTTAGGTGAGTGCTCTGATATCTCCATAGTAGTCTGTGTATTTGGAGATAAACAAAGAGCGTTCATTGTGATGAGAGCGACGAGGAGACAAAGAGCAACACGCTGGCGTTTCCATGCAAAGAAAACAGTAACACAGAAGGGGGTGAGGGTGAGGGACTCCAGCCTGTGGGTGGCTGCAGATTAAAAGGGGTCCAGGCTGAGGTCGCCGCCGGTATGAGTCAGTCGAGATACCACATCATCGTCATCGCTCTTTATCTGACGGCTGTGAGAAAGCGGACCGGAGCTGCCTGAGCCGACATCAAACCGCACCGTCGGACAAAAAGAAAACACATCTGCTTGCAGCTTTGAGTCTGAATGAGGCCGATGTTCTCCCCCCCCCCCCCTTTTGTGTTTTAGGGAGTTTCCATGTTGTGCAGCTCAGCTGTTTGTGGTTGTAATGAACTGTGCTGCTGCTGCTGAGAGACTAAGTGGAGCTGCTCAGTAGAAGATTGTGGTATGAAATGTTTTGGTGGAAACTGGAAATCCTACTTGGATATTTATGCACGACATAAAAACCAGGCGGTGTAAAGAACAAGACGCCCGGTGGAGGAAAAAGCAAAAAGTCTCTCCGCCTTGATGAGCAGCGTTTCCTACCTCTCGTATTTGAAACATTTCTTATCGCAGAGGTCGGGATTCCTCGCTGCACCTCTGACCCACTGCAGTTGTCCATTAACCTTCGGACAAGAGCGATAGAAGAGACGGTAAATGCTGCGAGGAGGCCGGACACAGGGGACGTGAACCTAATTATCAGTAGGTTCTTGTAAACATTACCAAAACAGCACCGTCATGCACCATCTCCTGTTTCTGATGAGTCTGCAAATACAGCCGCAGCGACAGGGAAACTTTAAATACTGACGAGATTTTTGAAATCTGTCAGTTCCCTTTGCTGTGTGTGACTGAAGAGCTAGTTTCACATTCAGTATTTTATCCAGATTGTAATTCACATCATAACACTGCACATTTTGTCCCGTCCTGATGTTCTTGGCTTCTTTCTGTTCTCGGTTTAAGACCCTAGAGTCAAGTTATGGGTAATTATTATTATTAGTCATGTTTTTGTACGTGCACAGGGAATTCAGATGTTTTTAATGATGGATTTAGTGAAACATTTGAAGCTGGAAAGTGTGCAGCCATGTCAGGAAAGAACCACAGAGGGTATTTAAAGATGGACGACGAGACAAAAGTTTTCTTTTTCAATTTAACTTTCAATCTCTTCACCAACTCTGTGACTGACATGGACCCCCCAGCTCTCTGCGGTGCAGCGTCTTCACAAAGACGAGGGGGTGGGGGTGGGGGGGGGATGCTACAGGTCCCGAGGTCACACTTCATCTCTGAGGGTGGGGGGGGGGGGCGGTGTTTATTCTGGGTCAACAGGGAAAATAACAAGTGCCTCTGGTTGATTTTTAAGCTGAAACCCAAACAGAGCGGTCACAAAGGGGTTTCCCTGCTTCTGAAAACCAGTCAGGGCTCCGCTGTTCAGTCCCGGGGTGATTGGCACGACCGTGAGCCTCAAGGTCAAGCTGCTTTTAAAGAGTGAAAAATGAGATTTAAATGGATTTAGAGCCAGAATCCAGAGAGACTGAGACCAAATAAACCAAAACATTCCTCCATCAAGGTTCATTCCAGAAAACAAACAGACACAGAAATAAAATGTGTTGAACAAAATGTCTCAAAGGGACGTTTGAGTTTCTCTCAAATACTTATTTTCAAGCGTCATGGTTGAAAATAACGAGGTCTATTTTTAATGGGACGATCTTCAAAGTTATTGTTTTCAGTGCATCAGTCTTTCTCAAATAAAAAGACACGTCGCAGCTTTTTCTAGTTCAACTAAACTTTTCTGACCCAGATCTGGTTCACGGGTGTTAAACGATCACAGAACGAGGCAAAGCAGAGGAAAAACGTCGACGCCGCATTTTAAATCCCATTCGCAATTATAGTCTCCAGCTGGAATCGTCCTTACAGGTGTTCCTGGCCCCGATCGGTTTTTACTGTAAAGAGCCAGAAGTCTGACCTCCACACTCTCCGTCCTTGACTGTGCAACAATGCACAAGGCGCCACTCCCCGTACGTGATCCCGGGTGATGATAGAATCAATTACAGGTTTCGGAGACAGACTGGGCCGCGCGCTTCGTGGTAATTACGACGTTGAATTGTCATGTTGCAAATCCGTTCGGAATTTAAAGAGAAAATACGAAGCGGCCTGGAAGTAATGGAACCGTCAGTCACAGCCAGATATTGTTCATTCATGATGCACACAGCTGCAGCGGAAAAAAACGAATAATACGGATAATGTTCATGCTGTTCGCTGCTCTCAGTTATTTACGACAATGTTTCTGTTTCTTATTTCTGAAATGAAATAATGGTCACACGTCTAAAATAAAAATCTAAATAAAACTATAGGACTGATTTGAACGTGATCATGCAAAGCAAGGAATAGTTCCGATGAGTTTGGTGGGAAACTTTTGGGAAAGGGGTTTTTCTTTTGTGCCCTAAGCGTTGGGTTGTGATATAAGGAGGGTTTGAATGACAGCGAGTATAAATACTTTTTTGTTT